AATTAGATATGAGGGAATTAGAAAAGGTTTTAATTTTTTAAATTTGATATCTAACTCTCTCAAAGCTCGAGAAACAAAGACAAGATTGATAAGAACGAGATAACTAACACCAATAAGAAGGAAAGGAATTGAAACGAAAAAAGCCCAACCACTTGGTGATCCACTTGGTGATCTAAAATATGTTGATGTTTTAGTATTTCGTTGCAACCTTTCGCTCGCCAGAAGACGATTATGTAACCACTTACTTGAGATTTCACTTGTTATAAAAAAGGGCAACAATTTCATCTTAACAATTTGCCATAATAAATCCAAAATTTCCCAATAAATAGATATCCTACTATTTAATATTGAAACTATATCTATCAATAGAGAATTGAGATATTTGTACCCTGTCAAAGTGAAGAAGTTTGGCAAATTGATTTGGAAAAGATTTAATTTTTCTGATAGAATGGAAAAAAAATTCTCTCTATGAAAAGTTGTTGCCATCCGTCTTTTCTGAAACGCAGCGCCTTTTTTTCGATTTTTTTTGTTTTGAAATGAAAAATATTTATCAGAACAGGGAATGTCAACCAAATCCATATTTAAATTAAAATTAGGATATTCATGAAAGTGATTTTCTTCTGAATCATATATATTTTCTATTTATATCTGAAAACGGTTGACAATAAGTTGTTTCCAAATTGACTATTTCTTCCTCTGTAGAAGAGGTTCCAAAAGTCTTGAGAATCAAATTAGGCATGACTGGATCGGATTGCCTTACAGAATTAAAAGAATTCTCAAAGTTATACCGTGGATCACTGTTTTTGACAAAATCCTTAAATAAGGAATCAATTAGTGAAATAGTAGCTCTATCCCCAACCCCAAAAACCTTTCTTTTTTTCCCACCACCTAAAGAAACTTTTTGATTCCCAAGGAACAATCTATTTAGAAATTGCTCATAGAGAAAATACGAATTAGTATTCCGAGCCCTTTCGATAGAAAATGGAAATCTTCTCTTACAATCTAACCAGAAGTTAGAGTTAGGTCGAATATTAAAGAAACAAAGTCTATTTGCTTTATAAAAAGCGGATATCAGTGAACTTCTTTGAAATAGGTTCATGGGATGAAACCCATTACCCTTTTCATCAAATATTTTTGTCTAGTAAGCAATGCATCAATCCGCCCTTTTGCTATATTATTAAACAAAAAGGGTGATCTCTTTGTTTCATTGATAACAAAGTTCGACGTACCAGACTCTTCCAACAAAAAGGGGTTTAATTTTTTTTAAATAAATAATTTTAAAACCTATGGATTCCAACAACTGATTACAAAGTTGACCGTTCGGTCCTTTTAATTCATAGATATAGATTTCGGACCTCTGAACAGGACTAGTACCAAAACTTACAAAGGAAAAACCAAGTGAATTAGACAAAAACAAAAGCAACTTGATCATACAGTGAATCCCTTCGTAAAAAAAAAACGAAGTGACTGGGGCAAAAAAGAAGAACGTACTGATTTCGACAACTTGGTAAAAACTAAAGGAATTAACTTATACACATTTTTTTTTACTTTGATTTCTACTTCCCTGCGAACCTTAGACCAATAAATCCATTTTCTCAGTTATTTTATCAATAATATAAATAGAGAATTGATAAACTTTCTCAAACATCATTTGCAAATAGCCCTTTCGGACTTGAACATACATTTTAAAAAGTCTTTTCTGCTCATCAAGAAAATGTTTTGAATTTTCTTGTAAACTCTTTGTCCCATTTGACCATTTGGATTTATATGGTTGACCCGTTTTTATTTTAAATGTCATATGAGTTAGATGATTGAGAAGACCCATTTCTTTTTGATCCCCTTGAATTCTCCTAATTCGATATTTGAAATTGCAATTGGATATATTTATGAAAACAAATTGATTCAATAGATTTCTTATGTACACATAGGTATTAGATTGCATTTGAATCAGATTGTGAATCAATATAGATATACATTGATTCACTGCTTCAATCCAGACGTAGTTTTGTCCCGTTCGTTGAAAAAAATAGTTCTTCTCCTATAACGAAAAAAAATAGGCGAAAGAACCAACAAAGATTGATTTTTTCGAGTCAGTCCTAGTATTTAATATTTGATTCAATAATTTGATTTTATGCAATCCATATGAATCTATATTCACAAAAAAAGTAAAGCCCTTATTATAGACTGGATCCGGCTCGCTTATTGTCAGAATAAATAAACCTGGACTTTTTTGTAATTTTTCTTTTGATTTCCAATCATGTTGTAGCACATAGCTTCCTTGTTTACTTTCAAGAAATCGGTTAACAAAATAAAATAATGGAGTTTTTTTAAGAAATCCAGTATTCTTCGAATTTTTTATTTGGGGATCAAAAGAAATAGACTTAATTAAACAGTTCTTTTTAAATACATAAGTATTCTAAATAGATTAACTATTTCTTTTTTTTCCGCTTGCCGGACAAAAGAAAGAGATTTATTCCTAAATTTCGGATCCATAGTGGACTTAGCAATAGGAGTTGATCCCATATAAAGTTCTGACCATCTATCAGAGTAAAATGAAGAAAGGGACCTCGGGGCATTGCCCCGAGATTGTTCCCTTTCTTTCGGAAACGGAAGGCTTAGCGTTGGTTTACGGCCTTTGATCTCTTTTTGTTCCGTTTTAAAAAGGTAAGGATCCCAAGAAGTTGATCTTTGTTTTCGTTGTTTAATTTCTCTTTGATTGATTAATTTAGAATATTCCGAATCCTCATTTCTAATAGAATCCAAAAAATTTCTATCCAAGGATCCTTTCGGTTGGCCGAAATCTTTTACTTGTAAGGAACTAGATCTTGTGGAATTATAAGGAAACTCAAGCGATTTTTTCTCTTTTAAGAATACCAGATTGAAACCAAGAAGTTTCATTGGAATTTCTCTAAATTCCGTTCTAGTTCGTCTAATAATTTCTCTAATAAAGTTTTTCCCCTGCGGCGAATCTGACTTTGATTGAGGCATGTTAGGGTTTTTTTTTATTGGTAAAAACCCGAGTATTATAGTTTGGATTCATTAAATCAATATCAACTTGATTTTTGCCTTTTGGAAAAGAAAGGAGTAAAATACTTAATCGATTTAGAGTAGAATAACCACTATCTTGATCAGTTATGGATTCACTGCAATTCATCGGTATAGGAAAAAAGTCTTTTTAAATAGAGATTCTTTCTTTCAACCATATTTTGATTGCTAATACGATATATAAATATAACAACGCCAACGAAAACTAGTAAAACTCCCTTAATCTTGATTGATCTATTTCTTTTTGAACCTTGCAAATTAGGTGAAAGTATAAGACTCCAAATTTGTGGGTCAAACAGTTTTAAAAATCGTTCTTGGGAGACTAAAATATGAATTGAAAATCCGATTGCATTCAATTGGGTCCATGAATCTAAAAAATATTTTGATTTTTTAATCTCTCTCAGTATCTCTCGTAACTCGAAAATCCAGAACTTTTCTGGCTTAGGATTCATTTCATACCTCCCTAAAATTTTGTATAAAGTATTAAAAAGTATTAATACTTTTATTATTGTATTCTATATTGTATATCTATTATATCATATTATTATTATATATAAATATAATATTATATAATTAAATATTAAATATAGAAGATAAAAGAAATATAGAAGATAAAAGAAATCTAGTTTTTGTTTAGTATTTCAGATTTCATAAATTCTTTATCTAAACGACATTTTTTGCTGTAATTCAATGTAATTAAATATTCCAAGATTAAAAATTGCCATAATTATTCTATTTTAATTTTCAATTTTGATAGATGATGGTCTCGTTTAAGCATCCATAGCTAAGTGGTTAAAGCGCCCAACTCATAATTGGCGAAGTCGTAGGTTCAATTCCTACTGGATGCACATTATTAGTCATTTACACAAAACAAAATATTATTGACCCTCCAATTCTTCTTTTTGTGATATTTTAGGCTATATGATATATATTAACATAGATCTACTTTGAGCATTTCCTTCATAATCCATATCAAATATCATATAAGATATATATGCTCCTAGATAAATTTGTCCATATCAAATCAATCAAATATCATATAAGATATATGTTCCTAGATAGATTTTATTTTGACTATTTCCATTTCATATATCATTTTCATATATCATAATAGATAATTCTAGGATACCAATACATATAGAGAATATATATCTATATTAGATATATATATATATCTATATATATATATAGGAACACTTAATATAGGAACACTTATTCACAAAAACATTCTTTACTCGAACTAACTAGTTTCAACTTAAACTAATACTCAAATTCGGGATGGAATAAAAGATATAGTATTTACAGAAAAACGGATTTAGTTATTAAAATATTAAAAAATAATAAATAGTTTTTTTATGTCCACGTCATAAACTTTGAGTAGTGCTACGCTTCTGGCAAAGGGTCACATAATGGTAGGCCCTCCCTATTAGAGGACATATAATGCAATGGCTACCGCAGAGAATTAGACGTATGCCTCCAAACAAATAAACTTTCAATCCAAAATAAAAATCATTAATATCATGGGAATAAAATTATACAAAACTGATAACCCGAGCGAAACCGTAAACAGCCCAAAATTTGCTCGAAGGAAAAATTTGCTCTCTGGAAAGCATCATTGTGGTAAAGGTCGTAATGCTAGAGGAATCATTACATCAAGGCATAGGGGGGGGGGTCATAAGCGCCTATACCGTAAAATAGACTTTCGACGGAATGAAAAAGACCTATATGGTAGAATCATAACCATAGAATATGACCCTAATAGAAATGCAAACATTTGTCTAATACATTATCGGACTGGTGAGAAGAAGTATATTTTACATCCGAGAGGGGCTCAAATTGGAGATACGATTGTTTCTGGTACAGATGTTTCAATCAAAATTGGAAATACCCTACCTTTGACCGAAATCCCCTTAGGCACGACTATACATAACCTAGAAATCACACGTGGAAGGGGTGGACAATTAGCTCGAGCAGCGGGTGCAATGGCGAAACTGATTGCAAAAGAGGGTAAATCAGCCACATTAAAATTACCTTCTGGCGAGGTCCGTTTTATATCCCAAAATTGCTCCGCAACAATCGGACAAGTCGGAAATGTTGGGTTCAACCAAAAAAAATTGGGTAGAGCTGGAGCTAAACGATGGCTAGGTAAGCGTCCTGTAGTTAGAGGAGTAGCTATGAACCCCGTAGACCATCCACATGGGGGCGGTGAGGGTAGAGCCCCTATTGGGAGAAAAAAACCTACAACCCCTTGGGGTTATCCCGCACTTGGAAGAAAAACTAGAAAGAGGAATAAATATAGTGAGAAGCTCATTCTTCGTCATCGCAGTTAATATAATATATTATAGTATCAAAATTAATAGAATAGAGCAAATTAAATTTCTTCATTCAATTATATGAAAAATAAAAAAATAAAAGAATAATAAAATTTATAGGAGTAAACTGTGGCACGTTCACTAAAAAAAAATCCCTTTGTATCTCAGAATTTATTAAAAAAAATTGAGAAACTTAACATAAAGGGAGAAAAAGAAATAATAATAACTTGGTCCCGGGGATCTACTATTATTCCAATAATGATTGGTCATACTATTGCGATTCATAATGGGAAAGAGCATCTCCCTATTTATATAATGGATCATATGGTCGGACACAAATTGGGAGAATTTGCAACTACTTTAAATTTTCGAGGACATGCAAAAAATGATAATAGATCTCATCGGTAATGTGAATACTAAAAAATATCTTGATGCTTATGAGTCATTAGTAGGAGGCAAACTTTATGTACCAGATGCTAAATAAAAAAACCCCAGAAGTATACGTTTTAGGTCGACGTATAGCTATGTCGGCTAATAAAGCAAGAAGAGTTATTTATCAAATTCGTGGGCGTTCCTATGAGGAAACACTTATTATATTAGAACTCATGCCCTATCGTGCCAGTTATCAAATTTTAAAATTGGTTTATTCAGCCGCATCAAATGCTAGTTACACTATGGCTGCAAATAAAGCAAATTTAGTTATTAGTAAAGCTGAAGTGAATGAGGGGACTGCTCGAAAAAAATTAAAACCTCGGGCTCGTGGGCGTAGTTATCCAATAAAAAGACCGACCTGCCATATCAGTATTGTACTAAAAGATATTTCATTCAATGATTCTGAATCTGTGGAGCTCGGTTTGCTAAAAAAACCACAAGCGAAAAAAAATTCTAGAACTAAAGCATATTCTGATATCCAGAATAGGAGGTATTTATGGGACAAAAAATAAATCCACTTGGTTTCAGACTTGGTACAAACCAGGCCCATTATTCACTTTGGTTTTCAAAACCAAAAACGTATGCTGAAAATCTGCAAGAAGATCAAAAGATAAGAGCTTTTATCAAAAATTATGTACAAAAAAATAGAATCAAACCCTCGGCTACCGAGGGAATTGCAAGTATATATATTAAAAAAAGACTCGATCTAATCCAAGTCATAATATATATGGGATTTCCAAAAATATTTATGGAAAATAGCCCACAGGGAGTTGAAGAATTACAAAAAGCTCTACAAAAAAAATTAAATTTTGTAAACCGAAAACTGAATATTGCTATCACAAAAATTGAAAAACCGTATGGAAATCCTAATATTCTTGCCGAATTTATAGCTGGACAATTAAAGAATAGAGTTTCCTTTCGAAAAGCAATGAAAAAAGCTATTGAATTAGCTGAACAAGCAGATACAAAAGGAATTCAAGTACAAATTGCGGGACGCCTTGACGGAAAGGAAATTGCACGTGTGGAATGGATAAGAGAAGGAAGAGTTCCCCGACAAACTATTCAAGCTAAAATGGATTATTGTTGTTATTCAGTTCGAACTATCTACGGGGTTTTAGGCATAAAAATTTGGATATTTTTTGATGAAGCTCAATAAAATTTTATTCATTCTTTTTACCTGTAATACCAAGCGGCCCATTTCACAAATTATTTTGTGTAATGAGCAGGAACAGTTCTAATTGATTTCTAATTGATAATAATGAATTCTATAAGGTTGAATAAAAATTTTATTTATTTTTTAATAAAAATATCATTGCTATGCTTAGTGTGCGACTCGTTCATTTTTTAAGGTTAGCATGAAACCAAACCCAAAGTAACAACTACTCACTCGAGAAGAAATTACCTAATAACTAACTCATCAATTTCGCATTATCTGGATCTAAATAACCAGTCATGATATGATTAGCGCTCATATCGTTGTAGCAATTGCCATTTATTTGCATAAACAAAAATTATTCAAATATTATTGAAGTTGCCAAGCAAGATATAAAAAAGATGTAGATAATTGGAAGGGAGAGAGAAAGGAAGAAAAATAAGCTCAATGATTGAAAATTCCAATATGTAGGGTCTAACAAAATAGGCAATGTAATGAAGCATTAATACTTAAATTCTGCATATTCAAGTATTTGAAATAGAATAAAAAATCTAAGAATATTCAATAATAAAAAACAATATACTCTTATTATAGAAATTAAATTATAGAATAGATAATTATTAGATAAATTTAAAGTAAAGAGCTTAAAGCCAATAAAGACTAAGAAAAATGGCTCAAGACTCAAATTATTCATATATTACTATTTGAGCTCCATTGTAAAATTAGGACCTAACCATTAAGTAAGAAGTGATGGGGACGACGGAACTTATGAATAAAAAAGATTCAATTTAAGATTAAATAAAAAAAATCTTAAATATTCACTGGCTGGGATGGCGAAATAAACCAATGTTAAATTATTTGATTTCTAGATAGTAGCTAGAAGATGTAACAGGCTCGTCCTAGAAATGAAATCTAAATTGACAGAGTCAATATTCGCCCGCGAAAACTTTTTGCAAAAGAATCAAAAAGCAATATAAAGACAATATTCAAGAATAGTCAAAAAGAAGGATTAGTTAGACTCAGAGAATCATGAAAAAAGTGTAGAATAAGTCATTTTATTTCAAATAGATTGAAAAAAAATATCACTCAATTCCTAAATATTATTTGGACTTCTCAGTCCATATTATTATTATAGATCTTATTATCTATATTTAGATTTGTAGTATTTATCTTAGTATCTATCTTTAGATTGAAGATTTAGATATCTTCACTATGATTAATCAATTTTAGTCAAAAGCTCATTTTGTAAATCCTTTATTCGTAATTCGCGAGGAGCTGGATGAGAAGAAACTCTCACGTCCGGTTCTGTAGTAGAGATGTAATAAATAAAAATCCATCAACTATAACCCCAAAAGAACCAGATTCCGTAAACAACATAGAGGAAGAATGAAGGGAATAGCTTCTCGAGGTAATCATATCTGTTTCGGTAAATATGCGCTTCAAGCACTTGAACCCGCTTGGATCACATCTAGACAAATAGAAGCCGGCCGACGGGCAATGACACGAAATGCACGTCGTGGAGGAAAAATATGGGTACGTATATTTCCTGATAAACCAGTTACTGTACGACCCGCAGAAACACGTATGGGTTCAGGAAAAGGATCCCCTGAATATTGGGTTGCTGTTGTTAAACCCGGTCGGATCCTTTTTGAAATGGGTGGAGTAACAAAAAATATTGCCAGAAAAGCTATTTCAATAGCAGCATCGAAAATGCCGATACGAACTCAATTCATTATTTCGGAGATAGAATAGAAAATATCACTCTAAAACTACCCCAAAGAATCTTAAGAATGAAACAAAAACAAAAAAATAAGTTTCGTTTTATGTTTGTGGACAAAAAATATTTCTTTTTTTCTTCGCCCTTTGCATTGTGAAAGAAAAGAATAAAAAAAAATGCTATGATTCAATCCCAAACCCTTTTAAATGTAGCAGATAACAGCGGGGCTCGAAAATTGATGTGTATTCGAATAATAGGAGCTAGCAATCGTCGATATGCTTATATTGGTGACATTATTGTTGCTGTTATCAAAGAAGCTGTACCTAATATGCCTCTACAAAGATCTGAAGTCGTTAGAGCCGTAATCGTGCGTACCTGTAAAGAACTAAAACGCGGCAACGGGATAATAATACGATATGATGATAATGCCGCAGTTGTTATTGATAAAGAAGGAAATCCAAAAGGGACCAGAATTTTTGGTCCAATCCCCCGGGAGTTGAGACAATTAAATTTTACTAAAATAGTTTCATTAGCTCCTGAGGTATTATAAAAAAAATTCAAAAAAAAAAATGGAGTAGAATCTGTCTCACGTATATAATTTTAAGATTAAAATTAAAGTAAGATAAACACAATAATCCATAGACAATAAAAAAAACACGTTGAGAATATAAAATTTTTGAGTCCCATAATTAGAGTTTATCATGGGTAGGGACACTATTGCTGAGATAATAACTTCTATACGGAATGCTGATATGGATCGAAAAAGAATGGTTCGAATCCCATCCAGTAATATTAACGAAAAGATTGTAAAACTCCTTTTAAAAGAAGGTTTTATTGAAAGTGTGAGAAAACATCGAGAAAACAACAAGAATTTTTTAGTTTTAACTCTGCAACATATCAAGACTAAAAAAAGGACCTTTAGCAATATTCTAAATTTAAAACGGATAAGTCGACCCGGTCTACGAATGTATTCTACGTCTAAAAAAATACCTAAAATTTTAGGCGGGATGGGGGTTGTAATTCTTTCTACTTCACGTGGTATAATGACAGACCGAGAAGCCCGACTGCAAAGAATCGGGGGGGAAATTTTGTGTTATATATGGTAATATTTTAAAGATCACAATAAAGAACAAAAATCACTTTCTTTTTTTTTTTTTAAGTTCTGTTTGTGAAAATAGGCTAAATCCTTTTTTAGTTTACTTCAGAACAAGTCGATGAATCTTTTGCAACACAACAATGATTCAAAGGAGTCGTTTCTCAACTTAGCTATTCATTTAGCAAGAATAACAAAATTATAAATTTAAAATAGAAAAAAATGAATGTATTTATTAGAATCTTCCAATAAAACCGAAACTCTAAAGTAAATTTAAAAGAAATGTAAGGAGTCTTTATATGAAAATAAGAGCTTCTGTTCGTAAAATTTGTGACAGATGTCGATTAATACGGAGAAGGGGACGACTTATAGTAATATGTTCCAATCCCAGACATAAACAACGACAGGGATAATAAGACTTCGCAACTTAACTTAGTAACTAAACCAATTCTATAAATGAAAGAATTGTGAAATGGATATATCCATATAGTGTATCGCTGACTCAGATTTAAAAAATGCTTAATGGTAAAATATATATCGAAAATTAGTTCGCGTAGAAAGGGCGGACGTAGTGGTTCACGTCAGAATGCACGTAGAATACCAAAAGGAGTAATTCATGTTCAAGCCAGTTTCCATAATACCATAGTGACTATTAC